AGAGCCTGAGCCAATCGCTTGCAGAGGTATGAACTGTCCTTAGGCCAGGTCTACACTACAGCCCTAAATTGGTACAACTGGGTGTTGCTCAGGGGTGTGAAAAATTCACACCCCCCTGAGCAACATCGTTACCCTGATCTAACCTCCCATGTAGACTGTGCTAGGTTGGCGGGAGAACGTCTCCCGTCGCCATAGCTACCGCTGCTCGGGAAGAAGGATTAACTATGGGAGAGCGCTTGCGGCTTAGAGGGTCTTCACTGAGGTGCTACAGCAGCGTTTGGAGTGTAAATCTGCCCTCAGTGTAACGGACGCTGCCTGAGTCGGCAGAAAGCCTGAACTGGTCGCTCGCAGAGGTGTGAACTGTTCTGAGTGGGACTGATGCTGCAAGGGCGTCAGCCACTCGCTGCCTCCAAATGGGGCATTAAATGCCCCCCTCCCAGCAGGGCATACAGCGTGCGCCTGGCCCTGCCCCTCTCCCACCAAAACCAGCAAATTACCAGGGGATCCCACTGCTGCCACCAATGGCTCTGGCAGTGCCCTGTTGGGATTTTTTTTTTGCTGGTTTTCATTTTATTTTGGAGCAGGGATGGCCTAGATCTTCAGAAGGGACCACTCTGACCTTGTGTGTATAACAGCAGCCTTTCTCCTCCTCCCCTGGCTCTATACTGAACTCTGCTAAAAACCTCTGGGGGAAATCATGAGGCAAGGGGTTCCACACATTAATGTAAACACGTACTTCCTGGGTCAGTTACATCTCACATCAGAAGGGACCATTGTGATCCTCCAGTCTGACCCCCCCCCGTCTCACCCAGGCCAGAGAACGGACCCCCAATAATTCCTAGAGCAGAACTTTGAATTCCATTGGATTCCTTCTAGTGGCTTTGGGAGACCCTACATAAACCAAGTAAAAAATGCCCCCCAGTTAGGGGGTAAAAGAAAACCTGGATTCTTCCTGGGGATTTATTCATTGTTCATCCACAGCTTTTATCCCCCCAATAAACCACAAGAGGGGCAGGGGAATGGAAAACCAATGGGATTAAAAAAAAAAGGGGGGGGGAGAGACGAGGTCTTTGTTTTTCCAGGTTTTGGGGGATTTTGCATGTGAGAGAGAGAGAGAAACCTGGATTAAATTCCTGTGAACTATGGGGGAATAGACTCCAGGGTCTTTTAAAAAGTGTTTTTGGAGTTCGCCAATGTTTTTTCTCCAGGGGGGAGGTGTGGAAAACTTGGTTAAAATTCCCCTGAATTCACAGGGAATTGAGAATTTTTTTCCCCAACACAAGTTAAGGCCCCGTGCCCCATTCCCTGCCCCCTTGAGCCAGCCAGACTCCACATCCTGGGGCCATATCAGAGCCAGCGCTCCCTAGTGGGGGAAGGCTCTGTGCCCCATTTCCCGCCCCCGCAAAGCTATGCAAGCCTTAATAGCAAGAAATGGCACAGAAGTTTTATTAGACGTTGGTTTTGCTCCTCAAATAAATAGGAGGAGTTGTGGACAAATACTCAGCATCAGATGCAGCATCCCACTGAATCCTCAGTGCACCCTTGGGGTCCCCCTTGAATACAGCCCTTCCCACTGACCCAATCCTCCCAGTATTACAGCCCCTTGTTTCTTTTGTTGCCATATAAACAGGGTACTTAGATAGGGCCTACATAAACAGACCTAGGGGGTTGGTCCCTGGGTCTCATCATGTGGCAGGTAGTTCCACAGGTTAACCAACCCCCCCCCCCCATTCTCCTCTGCTAAATTCCCCATGCCCCTGGTCGTTCAAATGATTACCCAGCTCTCAGCCCCTCACTTGGCTCCTGGGTCAAATCGTGTGGTGGGGCAGTGCCACAAGTTAACCACATGCCATTCTTCCCTGTGCCAAATCATGTGGAAGGTAGTTCCACAGATTAACCACAGCTCATCCTCCTCCTGTTAAGCTCTCCAGGCCTCTGGGTCAAATCATGTGGTTGGTAGTTCCACATGTAAACTATAGCCCTTTCTCCCTGCCTAAATTATCTGGTCCTCTGTATCAAATCATGTGGCAGGTAGTTCCAGAGGTTAGCCATAGCTCATCCCCTCCCCTACTCCAACCTCAAGGCCCTGGCTCGACTCAGGGGGACGCTGCATCTTCGTGGTAGCGCGAGCAGGCGTGTAGGAGAGTGGCGAAGCGCAGGCCCGAGGCAATGGTGAGGGGCTGGTGGGAAGGACGGCTGGGGGGGGTCCTGTCTCGCTCCTTAAGAGCCAGCTTCTTGTTCTTGGCCCATCGCCTCCAGCAGTAGCCCCATGGGCGTCCGCTTTAGCCCAATGCTCTCGATCTTGTTCTCGATTTTATTCTTGAGGTTCCGGAGGCGAAAGGAGGCGTGGATGAGAATCACTGCAAGGGGGGAGGGGAAGGAAGCGAGAAAGTGGAGGGGCTGAAAGCGTCCCCGGCGCTTGCTAAGAACCGCCCCAGGCCCCCGCAAGCCAGGTCTTGCGACACAGCAAGGCGGCAAGTCGCCACCCCCTGCCGCCGCTCGCATGCGCGGATGCGGCTGTCCGAATGCATCGGCCAGGCCGCAGCGTTGGCACGCGGGGAGCGTTTGCAGGCAACCTCCCACAGCAACAGCAGCACCAGAGCAGGGACGGCAGGCGTGGGTGCTGCGGCGAGAATGCAGGCGCCACGTCCCCGCCCACTGGCCCAAGGACGCAGCAGCGTGGGGGTCTGCATGGGCGCACGTGCATCTAACGTGCCACCAGCTGCTGCAACCGATGCAACAGGGCGGCGCCGGCCCGCATGGCTCTTGTGGCTAAAGCGCAGGGGCCTGCAGCGCGCCTGGACGCTGCGGTGGGTACGGAGCGGCCCCGGCGGGCACAGCTGCCGCAGCGGGAATGCATCTAAAATGCAACTGCCCCACGCTTGCAGCACGGCCCCCAGAGTGCCAGGAAGATGCAACCGCCCGCAGCAGGGAGGCTGCGGGAATGGCCCTGCCGGCCCCCCGTGAGAACGCCCCCATTGTGGGGGCTGCATGCATGGCTCTGCCAGCAAGGAAGCAGCAGCCGCGCACCCCCTTGCCCTCCCCCCGGCCAGGATACAGCATGTGACCCACTGATCTGACTCCCCCCCCCAGCTCATGCATTGTGTTCGCCCCCTGCCTGCCCCTACTCACCCCCATCAATCCCCCGTCCCACTTCCCCCATCAACCCCACCTCCCTGATCTCTGCTACCCCATGCGTCCCCACCCCCAAATTCCACCCCAGCAAACCTGGCCCTCTTCCTCTGTTCCACCCTGCCCCACAGCATTCCCAAGGCCCTACTTAATCCGACCCCGTAGACGCCACACCCCCATCAACCCTGCCTCAGCCCCCCCACCCTGCCGCCCATCCCTCCCCCCCACACTCACTGGAGATGGGCAGGGTGACTGTCAGCAGGAAGACCCCCGAGCCCCCCAAGAGGGACACCAGGCCGTAGGCGCTCCCCAGCACGGCCAGGAGGCTGGCGCCGGGGTAGCTGCGCCGGAAGCGCCGAATCGGGGCCTTGTTCTCAGCCGCCCAGACGAAGGCGACGAAGACGAGGGTCACGGCGGAGCCGGAGAGCAGGGTGTGCAGGGGCCGGAAGTACCTGCGGGGACAGGGCAGAGTGAGAACCCAGGAGTCCGGGTGCCCACATTTTCCATTGACCCCACCCTCACGCCTTGCGTAGACACCCACCCCGGAGCATGTGCCCCCCCCTTGCATAGAGCATGCATGGTCCCCCACCCTTACACTGACCCCCCCAGCATGCACGGCCCCCCTTGCACTGACCCCCCCAGAGAATCTATGGCCCCCCATTGCTTGTATCGACCCCCTGGGGAGCAGGCACAGCCCCCCCCTTGCATTGACCCCCCA